GGTTAAACCGCCCCCAACCTCCAGTAGGCCCCATGTGCCTGTCATCGCGAGCTGAGCTCTCACAACTAGGGCAACTCTCTTGTCGGTGATTTATTGAATCTTCAACAACTTAAATAACTTTATTCAATTCTCAGTATTTGCATGACGTTCTAAACTTGATGTCCTATTAGTGGTCGTGATATGTGACTACAACATTGTGTTGAAATGGAGGATTCCGGTTGATGCACAAACCTCAAGTTCCAGAATTGATCCTTTAGTGGTGAATGATCGAGCTAATTATTGTAATGACATTCAACTCTCCTTTCATCAGCAACTTTGAAGCTAGTTTTTACTGTACTCACTAGCTTGTTATATGTTTCTATACTCCCGCTCCAAAGGATAACTGCTTTGAACACCAACTTTTCATTAGCCATTTTTGGCGACGATTTTCTCTCTGTAGTCTTTGTTATCCTTTGCTAAACTCTAAACTTTTGTACAGTAATTTTTCGTTGCATAAGAAAGATTCCTCAGCTCCAATGTGCCTTCCTTTCTAATTGATGTACTCATGCCTGATCCCCCTTCTTTTTCTAATTGTTGTTGAGATGGATGTGCGGGCACACTAGGCTGAATAAGATTAGGAATGAAGATATTCGGGAGAGGGTGGGCGTTGCTACCATGGACGACAAGATGCGGGAAGCGACGCTTAGATGGTTCGGGCACGTGCGGAGGAAAAGCTTAGATGCCCCGGTTAGGTTAGGAGGTGTGAGGTGTGAGCGATTGACTTTAGCAGGTACGAGAAGAGGTAGAGGGCAGCCTAAGAAGTATTGGGGCAAGATGATCAGACAAGACATGGCGCGACTTCAGATTTCCGAGGACATGGCTTTTGATAGGAAGGTGTGGAGGTCGAGCATTAGGGTTGTAGGCTAGGGGGTAGTCGAGCGTTTTTCCTCTTTGTACCGGCTAGTCTGATAAAGTTGTGTCTAGGACTGCTAGCGGTTTATGTTGTGTTCACACTATTTTTTTCGTTTTGCACAGTATTGTGTTATTGCCCTTCCACTTATTTGATGTCTCTTACGATGCTGATATTAGTTTTCTGGTTTCGTGTGTTGTTACAGATCTATTCTTTTGTTCTTTTCTGATATTATTGTCTCTTCTGTTGAACCGAAGGTTTCCCGGAAACAGCCTCTCTACCCCTCCGGGGTAGGGGTAAGGTCTGCGTACAATCTATCCTCCCCCGACCCCACTAGTGGGATACTACTGGGTTGTTGTTGTTATTGTATGTTGTTTCCCATCTTACCAACTAATATTTGGGTTCATTCCTCCATCCTAAATCTAAAGAAAATTACTCTATTTGCAAGTCGTTTTTCCACGTTAGATGAAATGGGGAAAGCAAACACAATGAGATGGCAAACACAAAATTCAGTAATTTGAGAATTCATTGTAAATATGGTGAATGCCAATTCATTTTAGTTGTTATTCGCACAGTTACATTATGTCCGTTGTTTGACATGAGCCTCTTAAGTTTCGTTAAAGATTAAGGGATTAGATTTAGAGATTTAGCTAGTTAATAATGCGATGAAACATGTCCAAATGGAGTATAGCGGATATAGAGGATTCATATCGTTGAACTCAACTAGTTTTGGGTGGCATTATTGCCGTTATTGTTGTTAAACAACAGCCACCCGTCACAGGGGCCAATATGGCTATTCCCAACTTGCCACCGGTTACTCGGACTCTTAACCTCATGATTGGGGGTAGAGGACCCTGCACACTAGGTTATCTCTCTCTTGTCTTGGTGCCGGTTCATTCTCCTTTTTTTTTTTTTTTTTTTTTTTCA